TTTTTCCACATAGCACATTAGTGAACTAGAGGCACTGATGGAGAAAGTCTCTTATCCAACATTTGCTAAAGGCAGTTTTGTCCATCATAACTTTCTGGGATGGTGTTAATCCCTAGTATTTTCTCAAAATTAATCCATATAATAAAATAGATATATATATATTATGTAATTGAGTGTGGGTTTGATATCTTATAATAGCTAACACAGGAAACCCAAATACTAAACCCTTACCAATTCCTGTATCTGCTTCTCTTGATAGCAATTGAGATCCAAGTTTTTCTAAATTYTCAGCTTCAGCAATTTGGTTATTTATATGACCTGTTCAAACGCATGTACAATATGCACTCTCTTAATGTAGTTAAGTTTCTGAATGTTTATTATTTTCAAGATGTGTACAGGCTTGTTTGTACAGTTGAACACACTTACCTAGACCTGCACCATGAAGGGCTTTTACTGATTTCTTAAGTTTAGATAGCACTGCTCTGTCACTCTCCAAACTCTACAATGAATAAAACAAATTTTAGGAACCGATAGAAAACATTTTGGTTTAACATATGGTATATGGTATCTTATACTACTATGTCCAAGTTTAATGTAAAATGTATTATATAGCATATTAGCAGCTTAGAAAATGATCAACAACTCTGATRTTGGACTGATAAATTGAATCTGTTTTCACAAATAATATCACTATAAACAAGCTCTTGGTCATAAATTATGAAGAGTACTTATAATATAATATCACCAGTACTATTAGAATTATATAATATCATAATTTTGTTTGTTAATATGTAACTTAAARTTCATCCCAAGAATCCAAGGAGTAATTTACTGCCCCTGTGTCATCACTCCCAAAAATAATATCGCTGGACACCAATGTTGTATCTGTTCTATAATATTTTCATCAATTACAAAGCAAAGATCACAAGAGAGCTATTAACTCAGGACCCTGAAGTGGAGTGCTGATTCTAGGAATGATATCTTATCTATAACATATTGCATGATGAATAATATATTAATCTACTAATAAATATTAAAAGAAATATTGAGTATGTTTATCATAATAATGATATTGATACTAACAAGAAATAAGTGTGCAGTTTATAGTTTTTTTAACAAGCAGAAACACACATTCAAGTAATTAATTTAATATGTTGTAGATCACGATCAAAAAAATCGAGAATAAATTACATTCCTCTGGCCTCGTCTGTCTGTCATTTTGAAGACTTAAACGTCTCATCAGAAGGACACATAGATACAATAATATTGAGAGCCGTTTCTCACTTAAACAATTAATAGTAATTGTAAGCTGTAACATGACAAATCATATTTAATCTTTTAACGCCTCAAAACATAAACTACACCCATATCTCTACTCGCGAACCGTCCAYATGACAAGCTGAAACCAAAAGGCACTAAATCCGAAATCGCAGCTTTGAGAGTTAAATTCACTTTCGCATTCMACTTAAATAAAGTCCAAGTAATAATTTCCAAGTTATATATTTGATTTTCTAAGTGATCATATGATGGTATTTTGAGTTGAATTTCTAATWTCAAGGAAGCGTTGACACAGATCGACGACATAGATAGAAGAACCAGAGCTTGCATGTTCCGTCGTGCAGTGACATTGCTCCCTCTTCGGCTTAGATTCAAATTATAACATTAGAAGCCGGATTCCACAGCCTATTATGTCATTTAACAAATAGGTAATGTTCCTTTAAGAGCTAACAAGGCAAAGACAGTTCTACGTGTATTTGTGAACTTGTTGCGTTGAGTTATCAAGTGAGCATTTATCGTAAATTATGCTGCACCTCATTCCGTACAGAAGTGATTTCGCTCTCCATAGGCATAAATACACATTGAAACGACTCACAGACAAGAGTTTAATAAAGCCTTAAAGTGTGTCTGAGATCGTGAAATGTTATTTTTAATTCCGCACTCACCTCCTCCACAACGTTGACCATATTTTTGCAAGGATACATCGAAGACCAGAAGTTCGAGGTTGTAGGAGACGAGATGTCCTCCCTCGTCGCGTGTAGAAACTCCTTAGTTGTGATCCTATCTGGCATGGTGAATCACAGTTCGGAAGATATTAAATTAATTGAAAAACATGTCAAGATTTGGAGATCTCTCTGTAAATTTGCTTTTAGTTTTTGATAGTTCAGACGAAGTTCCGGGCAGCGACTTGGTTCCAGGCTCTCTGGCTTCATAGCGGAATCACTAAGTCACGTATTTCAGCAATAACGCAATGCTGCGTTTCGTGGTCACGCAATTTTACAGGAAATAAAAGGAAAGAAACCCGCTATTTGTATTCTCTTTAGAGGCTTCATCTGTATTTTTTGTGTCATGAATCATTCAGAAAGTCGCAAGGGGAGTTTCCGTCCGGTTTGATACATTTAGTAAATTAGCGGGAGAATTTATAGAACAAACATTCATTTCTATTTTYTCTCTGTTTAAACGAGGGAACATCGGTGACTCAATTTTCGTCATTCAATTAAATGTATAGAATATAAATGAATTAAATTACACACACGTTTTCTTTTTCTTCAGTGATGTCAGTCATGACATTATGATCAAAATATTATTTTTACGTAATGACAGTAACACCGCAAAAATAACCGCAGCCACTTAAGGTAACAGSGCGTCATTGTTACGTAAATAGCCAACTAGTTTTGCTCTCTCTGTGTTAAGGGCTCTTGAAAGGTTTTCATTTCGTTTTTACTAAAAGTTGACTATATAAAAACTTGGAGAAATCACTACTGAAAGTTTCTCTGACCTTCTACTGGTAATTATTGTTGATGGTAATGATTAYTGTCAGGTTTAAATAAAGATCTTCGATGATGTTCAAATAGTTGTTTGGTTTGCCTATATTTTTAGACTGAATGACTCGGACCCATAGTAACTTTGGGTCGTGGCTTGGCTGCGTCTCTTCACCACAAGCATGCGCAGTTGTGTCTCATATAATGTCAGTAGATTACAGTTTTGCGGTGATAGCAATCAGACGGTTTATCAACAGCTGGCCGAGTCACGGAATGTTCGCCGTTTGTAAGCTTKTTTTATTCGTTTGACTCGGGCCGCTTCGAAAAAAAAAAACACCCGAAAAGGGCAAAGGAAAACTGGTGGAATGAAAATGGGACGATACAGAACTTGACTCGGATTTTTCACAATGTATTGCAGCTAAGGGAATGAGGAATTTTGTTATCTTGATTAGTTTTCGGTCCTCTTTAAAAGAAAAGCCAAGTTAATAGTAGACTCAAGACTCCAGTTGCGTTGTTTTCTTCTCTTTTATTTAAAGATAGCCATTCCATTTTCATAGAGTATTATCAGCTTAGACGTCGTTTTTATAAATAATCACATAAAAGAATGCAAAATGTAAACGAAAAACAATCTCTGGTCCACACATACCACACGCTGCGTTAAACAGGATTTCRAGCTTCCATTTATAGCCATTGTGTGTGGAGTTACCGGATCTATATCGCGATAAACTTTTCAAATAGCGGTCTTGTTTCCGCGTTTTTGTCTGTGTTCTTGTACAAATGTCAGCACGCTAAGYGATTGTAGTTGTAAATTRACGAAAAGGAGATGGGTCTTGTTGTAAATTATAATTTCTAGAGCACTTGAGAGAGAAAAACAGYATGACGGACCGATTTCTTACGTGAGTACCGATGTTTTTTCCCCTCCTTTCCCGCGCAGGGGCGTGTCAGGGATTTCATGTGGTTCCACTTTTATTTTGCGGTTTCAAAACTGTGAAAAAGGCAGTTGACTGAATAATTTAATGATTACTGTTTTGGGATCACACCGAACAAACTATGRGCATGGACTATACGAAAATGMTCGTTACAGAATGAMAATCGAGGGTCAGTAAGTCGACCCGCGCGCGGAATCCCGACTTCTTAGTAAWCGATGGCTCACTACGAAATCGAACCAAAGATTGCCGTAGCTCATTTTGGTGGCCAATGAACAATGCGACATGCCGACAATCATTTTTCGTTCCTTCAGTCTCCAAAAGATTTTGACAAGGTAACTTGGGATACCAAAGGCTCAAGATTTAATGTTRACAGGAAACCTTAAACCTCATATCCTTCTTTGTGGAAAAAATACTCTTGTAGGACTAGTCAATAACACTATAGCACGTTATCGCGCCTTTACATGCTTGATAAGACCTTTTGAATCCCGGAAATCCGTACCAGACTTATTTTTCTAATTAAATTGTACAAATATGTTTCCCTGAATAAACGCAAGTGAAATACCCTGCGAGCAGAGGAATTTTGCACCCCCTTCTACGAAGAAAAGGAAAAATACCTCTGCCACGGGACGGTTAATTTCCTGTTGAGCATGCGCATGGAACGATGATATGATTGGATGTTATCTATGACATTGATTGACGCTCTGTCAAAATCGCGTCTATCGTATAAGGTGTTTTTTGTTCGCGGAAAACTATCGCAGCTATAGTACTATTAAACGATGGTGTGTTTGACCTAATTTTTTCATTAGAAAATAGAAAATATCCTTTGAAAAATCCTCTGTTTATAGATAAAATAAGTTCCCGATTATGCTAAGTTTGTTATTTATAAAATTAATATCCGAATATGACCTTTTGACACGCACCATTTCATCAAGACGGATAAATTTGATGTTGTAAGTAAGGCAACAATATTTGACAAACATTCATTCCCTGTTGCAGCTTAATCAAATTTTCAGTTAAAATTTTTAGAGCTTTGAAATACGGATTCTGTAATAAAAAACATTCGGTCACAAGAATGCTGTGAATCATCTGTCAAGAAGAACGCTGTGATTGGTTTAGTCACGTGGAGTGATCACATGGTTTACCTCCAAGATTTTGGAGGCGGCAACATCACAAGAACTAACCGTTCTGTGGCAGAGGTGTTTTTCCTTTCGTAGATAGGGGAAAAATTCCTCTGCTCGCAGGGTACAAGTGAAAATACTAGCAAGGAAAAAAACAGCAAAATATATTTAGAGTGAAAACGTTAAATCTGTGAAACTAATTCCAGAAATCCAAAAGCATTCACTTAACCAAGAGTGTATTAATACTTTGCCCAATTCGCGTTTCTTTTGCAGTGAATGACAATTTTTTCTCTAATCATAAGGAATGAAAATACAGAAAATGTCGTAGTTTTTGTAGTAAAACGATCTATTTAATGGACTAGTKTAAGTTCGAGTCCAATATTGTTTCTCCTCATTCTTGTCAGTATTATTTCACGTTTTTTCAGTGTTCACAGACTTTTCTTTTAAGAGGCCAACAAGGAAAATAACGCATTTCATGGAACTGAGTGTCGTTACCTGAAGAGAAAGTATGCTTTCATCTAATAGACTGCTTACAACAGAACGACCAAAACTGTTCGACGAACACTACAACAGTTTTAGTTCGGCTGCACGCAGTCTAACAGCAGACGTCCGGAAAACATAATTTTAGTCATGTCCAAACAGATAAGAGACTACTTCTGTCTTTTAGCTACAATAGTAACTACTTCACGACTGTCCGGTGATATTACTTAAKCAACACAACAAAAACACAAGAAATTTGTAACAAAGATTTTATTTGAGATATCCAAACCAAGTTTGGACAAAACTTCAGTAGTTGTGGCTGCAGCACAAAARAAGAAGTTCTGATTCTCTCCCAACCTGCGGGCAACTAGATRACACTCCCTCAGMGGAGACTGCCATCTGAGTTCTTTCACCTTTTTTCAATGTCTAGCATAGCTGAAAACCCCTCTCGATGAAAAACTAAAACTCTATTGATGTCAATTAAAGTCTGTACAGGCGATTTGATATAGATACAGGTTATTAATGCTACTCTTATATACAGGACTATAGATACCAGAAGCTGGACAATAATCATTATAAAAGATATCTGAAGAGTGAGCTTGAAAACTACACACTTTGAACTTTTGTTTCTCAAAGTTTTGCTGAACACTAGCAGTGAATTTCAATTCACCSAGAAAAACCTTATAAATCTTGATAAGAATACCTTAAACTGATTGCTTAAATGAGCAAATCAAAGATTAATTGGATTATGTATATAAAGACTGCCCCCTGCAAGCAAAATCTCTCTTCACCTCCTCAATCACGGACAAAGGCATAGACAAATTCTATTCCTCTTTCTGTTATTGAGGWYRGAAMGATTATAACAGGCCCCAAACACACCTAGCTTACAGAAAGCAGAAACGTGGATTTAGAATTATTTATAAAAAGAATGAAGTATTATCGTCAGTGGTCAAGTCAGGGACGGTTTGGTCTGGTATCTTCTGGTCAACTCGACAAGGGCTGTTGATTGGAAATGTGGAATTAAACCAAGGATGTTCCAGTATTTCTGCCGCAGTGAGCCGTTCATTGGGATCTCTTCTCATCATTGACCGAATAAGACATTTTGCCTTTGAAGACACGGTATCAGGAATTGTGAAATTCCCTCGCCGTATTTTTGAGAACAGTGCTGTAGGTTCACTGTCATGGAATGGGTACCGCCCAACTACCATTGTATACAGCATGACTCCTAAGCTCCAAATATCGGCAGCTTTTCCTGAATATCCTCCAGTTGATTGTAGAATTTCTGGGCTTACGTAAGCAGGGCAGCCATGTTTGTCCTCAAGGGTGTCATTGTTGCCATCMAGTAAGCAAGCATCGTCCAGTCCTTCTAGTTTAACTTTGGTTCTGAAATAAATTAAAAATGTCAGTAAAATATTGACTCYGGTTAAACAGCTTCAACTGTTACTTTGAAAGTTGTTTTTAGTATTGACAAAACAAGAGCARCAAAACAGACTGTTCACAGTTATTGTGATAAATTCAGTTATTGTGATGATTAACGTCTGAAACGTCAGATATTTCACTAAGTGTTTTACGGTGTTAAATTTATCCTTTTACATAACTGCATCACAAAGAATAGATAACTTTATTCCAATGAAAGACAAACATCCAAAATGTCAGTGAGACTTTTAACTTTTCACAGTGTTTAATTAAACTATTCATTCACAACTGTATTGTAAGAAACACTGGCTCACGTCTGTTACTTCAATTTGTATTTTCCTTTATCTCGTATCATATAAAATACAACCATTTGAAAAGCAGAAAAACCTGTTGTCGTTGTTGGTAATCAGCTGACATTTCTCATGAGACCCTGGTTACATTTTCTATGGCATAGGATGACAAAGCTATAGTTTCACATGGCGGTAAAAAAAGACTTTTAGAAAAACCTAATGACTTAAGACTCACTACTCACACAAAAAATCATACTTTAACATGAATTTTCATGAAAAACGCCACCAAATTGAACACATACAGTTGCTAAGGAACAGATGAACWGACAAAATATTTCAGTTCAAACAAAAGCGTCCCTAAAAAGCACCCRAGGCTATCCAAATGATGAAATACTATTTAGTTTTGTGAAATATYCACGTGGAAAAGTCCAGTAGAATCAGTAGGATTCTAAATGAATCATCAAACTAGAATCACATTGTGCAACACACACAAAAGTCAAGTTACTCATGAATTTGTCATCTTTCACAACCTCAAAGATCATAACAGCTGTAAATTTAATTGGTTTAGCTCAAGTTAAAGTCTTTTTTAAATCAAATATAAGCCTAGAATTAGCAACTAAAATATATATATTAWGTCTGTAAGTTGTACAATGTTCAATTGTTGGCAAATGTCAAACAATGGCCATAAGCACATGCATGACCAGAACAATTCAACAAAAGCCATGTTTTTGTGTTGTTTCAATGTTTCTAATGAAAGAAAAACTGTCTTTTGATTTTGAAAAAAAAAAGTTTGAAATTAAATAAGACATTTTTATGTTGTCATTAAAATAAAATTGTAATTTTACTGCACTCAAAATCACTTAACTATATTCATAGAACTGAAACACATTCATGAAAAGTCTGTTCCTAACTTGCAGGAGTGTAATAGAAAACTTTGTCAGTTTAAAAACAAAATAATCTACACCAAAATGGTAGTGCAGAAAAGTTACAAGTTTTAGCTACAGAATCATCTAACAAAGAAAGCCAGTCTTTGTTTCTTTAACCATTTCTGAGGCCTTTGTTCAATAGCACTCATTGTGCTGTTGGCTTTGTTCAAATTGAGATCCTGTAGCATGGTCTAAAGACCTGTGCTCAAGACTTCTGCATCTGCCTTCCTGCGCAAGGCATGTGGTTTTTCGACAGCACATGGAACGCTGGGGACTTGATACAAAATGCCAGAGCTTTAGCTCTTTGATATKTCGATTCTCAAATAACAGCATTAAGTTTTACAACTGCTAAACATGTTTGTGTAACATTTTCACACCAGCAACATGTAAGTGAAAGTACGTTTTTGTTTCTAATAGACAAAGTCATCCTAAAATAATATTATAACTTGAACAAAGTACCATTAAACAAAAGACTTAAAAATTATTTGAAATGAATTATTTGTTTTAGTATAAAATCACAACAGAATCAAGTGAGTTTTAACAGCAAAGATGTAATTATTTGCTTTTTTTATATGCTTTTTTATACACAATTTCAGACAATAACTTTTTCAAAGAAAATTTCTTTTGATATTTTTTTTTTGAAAGATACAAGCATATTAAGTTCATAGCACACATTAAATTATCACTAATTTTAGGTGATTCTTTTTACATTACAGACAAAAAGACACACCCTGTGACAACATGAACTCTGAACATTGTTCAAAAGTCACTCTACAAGACAACAGACAAAGAAAATTTACTTAARACTACATGGAACAAAAGCACTCTCATTATTTGACAAGCACAATTGGGATGATCTAATGAATATATTTGGAAATAATGAGAGATTTTTCCAACCAAAATTATTTTTTCAATGTTAGTTTTAAGCTTCAAGGGTCAAAAGGAATCATGAAATTAGAGTATAAACATTTGTTTATGTCATTCCAGTAAAACCTATTCAAAGACATTATCTCTTGCCACGCTTTCCAGAAAAACTCAAAAGAACAAAGTGTGAACCTGAAGTGTCTTTTGTCAATTGTTCTTGAAATTTGTAAAGAAACTGACTTCGTCTCTGGGCATGCGAACAAACACGTGGCTATTTGGCGAAACAACGTTCGATTTGTTGGGTTGACACGTGGTTTGTGTGCCACGATTCAAAAATGATTTCATTCATGTGAAACTTGRTTTTTCATATACAAAATAATAGTGGAAAATAAAGCAACAGAAAGACAATGTAATAAAATAGAAACCACCTACAAAACCCGGATTATGTTGATGAACAACGGCTCATTTCCCTAAAGGATGTGACATAGAGAACTTTCCCGCCACATTGTCAAAGAAGAATTTAGCGTTGAATGCAAGCGTAAAAAAAACGGACGTTGGAGACTAACAGAGCGAAAAACGAAAAACCAAAACACACAAAAACAATGAAATATCTTTCGTGGGACCGAATATGGTTCCGACCAAAAGAAACGAAGCCGGAAGTGACGAACTAAACTCATAATCTCCCCAAACAAAAGCGAATTTTGAGTCATTGATTTTAGAGASAATTTATAAAAAACTTGTTGAKTCACTTGAACAAAATAAATCGGTAGTTAGCGATGGCTTCAGCAAATATGAGAAATATTTACCACATTGCTAAGCATTGCAGGTGACGGCATATCTCAGGGAAGGAAACCGAGTCACCTCTGTCATGACACGCAAGCCTTTTTAGAAGAGTGTGTGACTCTATGTGTGTGAAATATACAAAAAACGCGCAATATTATATTATGATCGAGTGTTCGACTATCGGAAAATTCATCTTAATGAATTCTAGAGATTTTTGTCCAGTTTGAATGAATAAAATCACGTTATGACTAACATGGTTTGTTATGTTATGTGTCACGGCCCTAATGATGTTACCTGACAACAAACTAAGAACAAAGCACCACAACACAGCAATATTACCAAACCGGTGACTTACACGAGGTTTGGACAGGAACAATGCTCAATAGAATCGATCTAAGCCATATGTTCTAATATTTCATGACCGAGAGAACTAATATAAACTCTAAAACGTCTTACCTTTCTTCGTTTTGAAATACAAATTTCCGTAGTTTCAGATCTCGGAGGACTACACCCGACGTATGACAGTGAGAAACGACACTGGCTATCTGACTAAAGATCTTGCTAGCTTCTTCTTCTTTGAGCCTTCGTTTAGTCCTGACATAACTGTGAAGGTCCCCAAACGACTTCTCAAAAAATACATAGGCATAGGAGTCACTGACGAGGATTTCGACCACTCGATTGATGCCTTCATGCGAAGTCAAATGAAAAACCGGAGATAAAGTCTCACGAAATAAGTTTACCTCTATAATTTTACACGAAAGTTCTTTATGAGTTTCTGTATTGATAGCTCGATGAAGATTTCCACCGCCTGAGCGTTCAAGTATGATATATTTGTCCACTTTACATATCTGAGGGGTTTCCTTGGATCGTTTGAGTGGTGTAGGCTGTAGTCCAATCGTTAAGTTTGGTAATGGCGCAGTCGGCTCAGTATTTGTTTTGGACGCATAACGCTGATAAGGGTGAAACCGAACCGTAGAATTGTTCATCTAAACAGCTTTAAAAGCTTAACGAATAGCGTAGATACAGAAAAAACTATCTGCACTCTTCTTAGTCAAAAATCAAGCGAACAGAATAAGCCCGAAGCGATTATTCCGTATTGCCAACTAAGCACAATGACGTTGCAACACAAACTGATCGATCTGAAGATGGCATCAAAAATWTTGAATTTTTCCCTTGCTGTGGTTTTAGCTGTACTGATTTCAGTCCAAGACTTCTTCCTTACACTTGGGAGGCCCGTCTGGCCTTCCCTTTAACAGCTAAACGTAGATAAACAGAACATTTTGTGGTGTAATACTGTAGATGACTAGCCGTTGCGAAACTACGAATGGTCGCAAAAATCCTGACGCAATGAGTTTAGTGTGTTAGCAAGCCTTTGCCAAATATGGCCATGTTACGTCAGTCCTAATGTCATCTGACGTTATTTACGCGATTTGATTGGCTGATGAGACAACGAACATTGTTCATCACAAACTCACTTCCGGACAAGATAAAAAATTTCATATTCGAGTGAAAATCTACTATTTTGTTTTCTAACAACTTCGACCTCGGGTCTAATAACATCAAGATGATTTGATTATGTACTCATTGGCAAATTGTGTTCAAGAAGATAGCCAAAAATCGATTAAATTTGACGGCATATCKCGATGAATTTTTGTGTCTCATATCACGGATCAACTGAGATACGTGATTACATGTCACGAAACGCTATTTGTATCGTGACAGTGCGTTTTTTCGCATATATTAAGATCGGAACGTTTGAAATATGAAATTTGCTACGTTTTTCATCGCATGCCTAAGACAAACCAATAACACATGATAAATTGTATAAAGAATTACAAATAAATCAAAATGTAGCCTAAATAAGTATTTTTTGKACGAAAAACCGGATCCACGCTTCACTGATACGTCTGCGAATATCGACCAATATTTTGGAATATTCCAGTTTCAACATCACGTATTCTTAAATTAAATTTTATTGGCGAAATATTTTTTTTTAATTCTACGAGAACGAGTATATTCTAGTATTTTCACAGTTGTATTTGAAAATCTCGAACAGAAATGAGGACTATCATGTCTTACGTTAATCGGTACGAGTGGGTGGGTAGTAGGCCAAGGTTCTGAGATACGTTCTATTGTTCTCTAAGCATAATGATTTGAATTTTGGCTGCTGAACAAAGCTTGTTCTTGGCCTCATATGAGTAACATAGCTTGATTAAGGTTTTTGTTAGCATGAGTAGAAACCTCTTTTTTCATCTAGTTTCTTCGACTCTCGTGTTTATTTGGTAACTCGATTCGATCCCCACATGATGAATGTACTTGTGTAATATGGTGACGTTTCGAGAAAAATCAATTTTAACATTTTTTTTAATTTCACTTTCTTTCGTCCCTTCCTAAATTAACTTAGGAACAGTATTTCCCAGAGAGAGTATTTTCATTTTCTTGAATCCTAATTCCCATTTTGAAGTTATAACCTCAAGGTTTTTGTTGCATAGCCTATAACCTTTGTCTTGGAGTTTTCCGTTTCAAGATGTTATTGTTTGGTCGTGGTGAGCAAAAGATATTATCAGAATGACTCACAAAGTATCCATCTGACATAATATGCCTTCTCAAAGCACTCAAGTAAGTACTAATGAACAAAATGAATGGAAAATAAGATGAAAAAAAAGATAAAAGTACAAACAGTATGTATGCGCAGAAACAAATTCATTGGGAAAATGCGTCAAGAGGTTCGCAACTCTTCAAAAGACTCCGTCTCTCATTTCACATCTCAAGAATTAATGACTGTTCTCTTCACAGCACGGTCAGTGGTGATATTGGTGTCGATCGTTTGTGTATGACTCCTCCCTTTATCGCGGCTTCAAAGAGAACAATAGAATTATTGCACACCACCCAAAGTGAACATTGATAACAGTGAAAGCGCTTACCATTCGTCAAGCGTCAAAAAACCATTCATTTTTTTCTTTTTTCTCTTTCATTTCATCACTTCAAACTGTCAGTTCAGTACATATGCGGAATAAAATGCTTAAAAAACTGTCACTTCCGCATTCAGCATCCCTCACAAATGTAAACTTTAATTTGATTCATTCAATCCAGTGAATACATGAGGAATTTAGAATTAAGATGCGGTCAAATGTGGGTGAAACTGCTACAACCACTCCGTACAACACAAATTAAATCYARGTTTTTATCTCAGATCCTATAGGGATACCTCAATTAGCCGAAGTTTCCAAGGTAAATGCCACAACTGCGGTACGTTTGCTAAGAGTTTATGATGATATTTATGTATACAAAGGTTAGATTCGCACCTTCAGCCCACTCTTTAGTGGAAGGGACGCGATGGCTTCCATTGTTCGAGAGAATTCAACACCGAGCATGCGCGCGCTCACAATAGAGAATTCAATAGTGGTATCTTCACATTTAGACATTTTGAATAGTTAAATATATTCAATTTTGGAAAAAATCTTGTAGCTTTTGACCTGAGGACCTAAAAGCATTTAGATGAAAGGTACCGAGTTAGGAATAGATAAGTAAGGTTTCCCCTTCTCCCTCCCCTTCAACCATTAATTAAAACGACCACTCAATAGCGAGCGTACCGCTGAGTGTAAGCCATTACTTCAAGGTTTGGCAAGATTACACGTAGTTAGTAGAATGTTAGCACGCTTGGTTCGACACATTATTGAGGTTTGTAGAAGAATTGAAAGCATGCAGTTATCATTAATTCATAAGTTCTGAATTAAGAAGTCTGTCATTAGTACCTTCAAAAGCAAGGACCATTTTGGTGGCAGAATAAAAAAACAACTTTTCTTTGTATCGTAAAATACCCACATACTCATTCTACGATAAATTATTCAAATTGCTTGCTTTGTGAACTGAACAAAAAGGTAAATTGCTGGGAAAATAGAAAATATAATTTCATATACTTTYAGAGATTTTGTTACTTGATATGTGGTGGGTCATCCACTGGAATCTTCTTTAAACATGATTTCAGTTTAATCTAATCAAGCCTATTTCACAAGACTTCTCCATTTTTAGAAATGGCTTAAAGCAATTTTATATGCTTCCATGTAGATTGTCATTAATCAGTGGGCTGTACTCTACGTGCGTGCGCTTAACGTTCAACCTATGTAATTTTTGTGCGCGTTTTGGTAAAGGTTAAAGTTTTCGTCCTTTGCCAGTAAAACTTTTTTTAGCGCACTTTTTCACCGACATTATTTCATGTTGATTTGTTTATATTCTAGCCTCCCACCTTGGTTTTGAAAATTGCTCAATTATTCAAGCGCTTGACAATCAAATGGATCAACGAACGCTTGTGGTAAATTATATTATTTGAAAACATATGATCTTTCCGATAGAAAATAGATCATTTAGGAAAATTAGGAACACAATCTTAGTAAATTGATGATTAAATTTTCCCTGGTTTAAGTTTATCAGTATTTTTGGTTTTACTTTGATTCATCGTGAGAAAAACGAGATTTATCCCACTCAAAAGCTATATCATAACATCATTCCTACAATTATTTCAATTCTGTTTCACCGAACGAAAAAATCAAATAAACAAATAATTATGGAAAGGATTAGAATTCTTTCCTCAAAATATATAATCAAACATTGCGGCTTTTTTGAGTAAATGGGCCGAAAACAAAAGATGCAGAAAGCGCCGGCCCGCGTCACCTCAAAACCCCTCAATGAATTTATCATACAGATAAAAATGATTTTSAAATGCAAAAATGKTCGATAAATGCAGTTGATGAAATATTTCTTGAATTTCTTGCCTCTAAAGCYATGATAAAGACTAGTATACTGCATAACTGGCGTACGAGATGAAAATAGTGAATTTAAATCTCTTCTTTGTTCGCCTTTTCCATTGTTTAATGTAAGACGATGCGCGTGCGCTTGTGGAAAGGACATCACAAAATGATACTTTATTTATTTTTTGTTAACCATTAAAACTTTAAGTTTCCTCTTTACTGACAACTAGAAAGAAGCACAGGCAAGGAAAATTCATTTTGTGTAAAAATCAACTTCGCTCGCATCGTCATCATATTTTAACCCATGGTGGAAATACAAACAGGTAGACTTGATCCCACGTGCGTTTGGCTCCCGTGACCGTTGCGAATCTGCCTTTTTCTTTGTGACTGACTTCAAATTAACAGAGAACTTTCTACGCTGATTTGTAGTTGTCTCATTTGAAAAGGAACTTCAGAATAGTTTTTATTGAATGTTCGGTCTTCACTTCTTGAAGGAGCAAGCTCTTGGATCTCTTATTTTGCCCGCAAATTGAGCAACTGATTTCTCAATCGAGTCTTTGTCCTTGAAGTCTTTTTGAAAAGCTAACTTAATTGCTTCCTACAAAGGAAGTATATTGTGTCAAAACAAAAGAACTAGAATGACAACTTTTTTGTGTAAAAAAAGGATGCTTKTATCGCGCCAAACTATGTAATAGAAAAGAACAAGAGATTTAAGTAAAAACTTGAATTCGGCACTGCAGAAACACACACTTGTCAGTRAATTAATATACTCGGGTGTCATAGCGAAGTTTCTCCTCAATTCTTTCCGTGACTCAAACCGAAGACTTTTTTTTACATTCCAGTATTGCCTGAGAGGCGAGACAAGAAAAAAAACTCCAATTTATCATCGTAATTTGCTACTTCCTTCTCAAATTAAAGACTCTTAGGCCGATTTTACGTGTTATTTGATATTATCAAAGATGGAGTCCTCCTAAATTGCGTGTAAACTTTATATATCTTCGCCAGCCAATATAATTCCCTTTCTTCTGATAATAATCTATTACATACTATCGAGACAAGTAAATTCACTGACTGTTTTTTCGCCATTTGTTGATATTTGTAATCATGATTTTGTGATTGTAGCAACAGCGAGAGTTTTATCTGCTGTTTCCCGCGCTTCTTGCGTCATCATCACAACGTGGGCGCGAAGAAATTCAGTCGGTTTGTCAGATAAAAGAAAACAAAAGCGCGTGACAACGATTTTTGATGTTTTATTAAAATCAACRCTAAGAAATATTACAAAAAAAGCATTTAATGCCTCTTAAAGCGATTTAGAGAATGACCTATATTGTACCTAATSATATAATTGTTGCCGTCCAGTACTTGTATAATCTGTGCCACCACACTTTATCAAGAGAAAAACAAAAAGAAACTAGCGCAAAGGAATACGATAAAATAAATTCTTCTACACTGTCACGAACTTTTATTGGAAGTTTCTTGTAAAAGTCAGGAGCTTTTACTGAGKTTCTTGTCAAAGTCTAGGTGACTGAGTTGCGAAGCGTCTATGCATTGCATAATTCACAATATCAGTGCGTTACACAATCATAATTGACGAAACAATTTTGCGCGGCAAACATTTACAATTGCGCAATTTCTTGCGTTCACTGAGTTCGCCATAATTCGCATCTGTCTTATCTCATCAACATCGGAAATCAAAAKGGACTTGAGCCATCTTTCCTGGCCCGCACCCTGGGTTTCCGTGATAAGTTATTCTAGAAACTAGATAAGACTATTTTTAATGTTGCCTAAAAATGTAACGATAAGCGCATCATCGATACATTACAACATTTCAGGYTCCTAAGCGATAACAAATGTATGGGCATCGTAACGCCGGTTTTTACGCTTTCGAAATACACAGTAATAATGATTTATCATATTTATTATTGCTTAATCAACTTTATAAATCCAGCTTTCAAATGATCTTTTCAAAAATAAAAAACTTTTTGGTGGTTAAACTATTTTGCATAATTTCAGTAATGAGAATTCATTTGAATCCATAATAAAGGTGTTCAGAATTAATTAAAAAAAATGAATTTATCCAGCTTTCAAAAATAGATATTTTGGGTTGAACATTTTATAAAGCTGRCGCGTAATTTGAGTTTGCACGAAAAAGAGCCCGAAGCCACTTTATTAAGATGACTAAGATGTTGTAGTTTCTCAATAGTATTCATATTCAAAGTAACACGATACGTCTACAGCCCATTATCAAATTAACTTTGATTGGATATTTTCCCTCCTCGTTTTATGGTCAGAGTTTCGCCAAGCGCTGTTTATCTTGGTGGTGGGAAAAATGGCGGGAAACAGTAGGCGCGCGMGCGTCATTTCATTGTCACATGTGACGTCAAAGACAGGCGTCTGAAAGCTTTTTCTAAACYCCTTTAATAAAGGATGYCTTGATTTATTACATTTTTAAGAGCCCTTTGGACGTCATKTCTTATCGAGGGGCGAAATAMAGTGAATATAAGACTRCTTAATTGATTTTTAAATCGCTCTCCGCTGCGAAGAAACGCTTTTTAAGAGCTTAACTTATTGCAATGAAAGGCATCTGTTTTGGGGCTTGTAAATATTTACACTCAGCAAATAGTAAAACGAAATCTTTGCCGCATTTGTATCATTTTCMGGTAATATGATGACGCCTTAGTTGTGTGTGATATTGTGAAATGTTTGCATCTCAAAACACTTTCAACTGTTGCAGAATRGAGTTGTCTGAAGGTGATATATTGTTTTATCAGCTGTTTAATGATAGACTTAACGGTTCTCGGCTGCGAATTGTCGAGTTTTCCGTGTTTGCCAAAGGGGTGATTAGGAAAAGGACGTAAGAATATCACCTTACTACTTATCCAACCCCATGGTCGTCATCAAACTCAAAAAAATTGTATAATTGCTTGTCTAATGTTTGTTTTCACAATTCAGTTTCATCAATCCAATATCTTTCTCTTTAATGACAGAGATCTTATTACATAGTTAGACAACCTTAAATTTTCTATGATAATTCTTCGCTTTTTTTCATCGCCGGCATATTATCAGTGAACGACACCTTATTACGTAGTGAAGCAACCGTTAATTTGCTATGGTACGCTTGCTTATTGGATTCTCCCTTTCTGTTCTAATTCCCTGATCTCCTTTGTTATCTTYGTCTAATTGTACTTTCTTTGCAATTTCTATTTATTTATTCCTTTTSCCAGTTTTCTATCATTMATTGATTTATTCTTTCGTTTCTTCTTTCATTCATYTCATTTATATATCTGTTGATTCAAATGCATTAATAAATTAATTCTAGTATATACCAGCAATAATAAAGGTCCGACGCTTTTAAAAGGGCCCATTCACTTACAACATGAGCAAAGACAGAAGGAGACTATAGTTAAGGAAACACAAGCTGAAATATAAGAAAATATCAGTATACCGGCAAAACATAAGCATTATATAAGCCCAAATGCTTATTTCAAGTGTGAACCAGCTTCTGTTTGTGTATATGCTTATGTCGTAGCGTGAACCGGCGCGCAAAAAGCAGTCAGACAACGACAATACGACGGAGAATGTGTCTTKTAACTTGGAGCCGGTCATCAGCGTTCAGATATCCATTCATTTGTTTATTAATTTATTCAACTTTGATAGGTCATTTCCTTGGTCCTGGTTTGGTAGTTTTTCCAGCTTAAGAAAAGCTCAAAATTCAATACCTTTCGTATAATTTTTGAAGAAAAAAAAAAGATTTGACGAGATTCCATCCTTTCTGGAAATGTGCACCCTCAACGGCACAGGCGCACTCACAAACTTTGACCTGACAAAACCCTTTAATCACTGGCCTTCAATATTTTTTCAATAGCTTTGTCAGTGATATGACAGTGCTTAGACGCACTCCAAAAGTCACTTATTCGTTTGATGTAAGTCTTCTTTGCGTCGATATTCAGAGCTGCACAAAGCTGGCAAGTCCATGGCGCATACGTCACCTCTTTGTAAGTTCTTCTCCATTCATGATATTTCATATAAGCTTTTTGATTTAAATCTAAATACTTTAAATGTTCAGCGAGTTCTTTTACGGATTTAAAGTCTAGTACGTTAATAAAAGACCCTGGAATAGCCAGATCAATATTTCTATAATCTCCCCCTCCGAGAACAATAGGTACAATTCCCAACTTAAGTGCGCCCCAGTACTTCTCGGTTATGTAATCCCTACAATTTGAATTCTCAAAGCCCAACAAGAATTTATATTTTCTTCTAAGGTTATTGCAGTTTGGATCGTTTAATTTACAGTCTCCGGACGGTTTGACTCCCACAAAGCTAGCACACTTGCCGTAAACATCAACTTTGATGTGTTTTAGCAATTTCTTTATGAATTTCTCACGCGGAAGGTCACAGTGACTAGAAGCCCAAAATATCAAATGCTCTTTAGATCTTAATATTGCATTGATCTCATCATCGGCTTCAATTCCATTGGTAACGCGATAGGAAAAGCCATATGGAGAATAAAAATCAGAGTCTCGCCTGTAAGTAAGAGTGTAGTGGAAGAGATTGTTTAGCCATTTTGAGTCGTGGTTGAACTGCGGGCTCTCCAATGCGAAATACACCCATTTTTGCCGTCTAGGTTTTTGCTTCGAGATCCGAAACATCTCAACTCGACCTGGTAGATCCATTGAGTGAAACAACACTGCATCAGCGCGTTTAAACTCGTTATTATCAAAACTAAGTCTGCACTGGAAGTAGGGACATGATATTCCCTCCCAGTGGTTGAACATCTTAGTGCTATTCATCCAGCCCCATGGTTTCTCATGAAAAAGAGCCGTGTACGCCAGCACTAGCTTTGTTGGTCTACTTTGTGCAAGACGTGAATACTCAACGAAACTTTTTCTCTTGGTTTCGACCTCAAGCGTAGACTTCATTCGTCGTAGTTCATTGTTTATGACTCGAATGCGATCATCGATGTGTCGAGGCTGGTCGTACGACAGCAGTGGAAAATTGAAGTAATTTAGCGTCCATATTAAGGTCGTGCTTGCTAACAAAGCAAAAACTGTGAAGTTTCGTACGTTAATGCTGTTTAGATACACAATTATTTTGCTGTAATCCATGTTATTCAACTAATGATGCTTCGTTTGATTTGAAATTCATTTGTGTTTATTTTACGGCTGGTGAGCATGAGACACAGGAATCCCAGCGAGGTTCGTTTGGAATGAAGAAGTTTTGTCTGCAGACATCGCAACATCACAACATGACTAAGTTAGTCATTCTCACAACATGGTTACAACTGTCGTAGGGCTATTAAACAGTTATTTTCAATCTCTACGACTATGTTGTACACGTGTTGTAAATAGGCAGGTTGCATGCATTGATGGCTGGCAAAGGTCTCAAACGTTTTTCAGACTTAGCACTGTTTTATTTCAATTTTTCATGGTTTTAGTGTTTACACTCTAGTGATTTTCACGCTTTTACGGTGTTTCACTTCATGAACCCGTGAACTACACTTTATTGTTAAATTACTCTTTACTTTGAAGGTATTTCTCCTCGGTTTTAAATTAATTTAAAAAATATATTAAATTATGCTATATCCTTCGCGATTCCCGTGCAAGAATTTCCCTTATCTTGCTGTCTCTCACACCACACTGTTTTTTACTACTCCAATATTCTGCCAGGTTTGGAATAGCTTTAGTTTTCGTGTGAATATTCAATGCTGCGCATAGAGTACAGCTCCAAGGCGCTGACCCCACAGCCCTGTATGTCTTCCGCCATTCAAAGTACTGTCGATATTCAGCATCGTTCTTGTCCAAATACGTTAAATAATCAGCAAGATCTTTAACTGTTTTAAACTGCATCACATCTATAAAAGACCCAGGTATTGCAATCTCTTTGCCATAGCCTGACCCCCCCAGAACTACAGGTACTATCCCAAGGTCAATGGCCTTCCAGTATTTCTCAGTTATATAGTCAACACAGTTAGAGTTTTCTAAAGCTAACTGAAATTTGTAGCGCTTTTTCAAAACGTCGCACTCCTTCGCGTTGTATATGCACTTTCCAGGAGCTGGTTTTGAGCCAACGTTCCCAGCACAAGCTCCATATATATCTATTTTAATATATTTTAAAAGTTTGCGCACATAATCTTCCCTTGGGAGATCACAGTGACTCACTGTCCATAGAACAAATTTGTCTTTCTGTCCTGTGTTTATTTCTGAATGATATTGCTCACCCTCCGCTTTGTTACTGAACGGGTAGTAATACCCATATGGGGCAAATACATCAGAATCCCGCCTGTAATTTATCTTCCAGTGAAAATAATTATCCAATCCAACAGCCCTTGGATTATTATCAGGATTTTCTAAGGCGAAATAGATCCATTTTTGATTTTTCGGTCTGTATTTTGCTAAGTTTGACAAAGCGAAGGTCCCTGGCATTTCAAAAGCGTGGAATAACACAGCGTCGGCTTTCGTATATTCCTTGTTGTCGTAAGTCAATCTACATTGAAAGTAAGGACATTTTATTCCTTCCCAGTGATTAAAAACGTCTGAATTTGGCAGCCACTTCCATGGTTTTTGTCCAAAGAAAGTTGTGTATCCAAGAACAACTTTCGGTGTTGCGTACTGTGCAAGTTTGGTATAGTTTTCAAGCTCCATTATCCTACTTTTGTCTTCCAATTTCCTTTTCATTCGTTTGATTTCCCTCTCTATGGCAAGGAACCGATCAGTTGTTGATCTAAGTGTATAACGCTTAAAAGGGTTTGGAAATCCTTTCAAAATCCAGAGAATGGTTACAAAAACGATGAAGACGAAGACGGAAAAGCGGCGTACATTCAGGGAAGTTTTAAGGGATGCCATTTCAAGTTCATGTTGCAACATGGAATCCTCTTCTTCTCTTACTTGAGGCTTGTACTTAACATAATTCAAAATGGCCGCTCTGTAATTTATGTTTGGAGACTGAAATTATTATTTATGCAGATTATTCATGCTTTCTTATGACTCATCTGTTGTCAATGATCCGTCAAGTGTTTTGTGATTATAATTCTGCTGGTGTAAACAGACGGCTTTTGCTTTAATCACTGTTGTTGATATTGGGTACTAAGAATGGACTCTTAAAAATGGCGTCTTTAGGGAAATTTAAGCACAATGCTTGTTCATTTTCTTTGTCAGCAATATCAATACTCACTAACTTTCAGCCGATAAATACTAAGCAGTTCACGAAGTCTGTAAGAACCACAATGGTGCCATAAAAAATGATGTACACCATGGAAAGCTTGTGTCCTCTACGCCTTGTAACTTTAGTATTCTTATCTGCTATTTGTACACAGCAAACAAGTAATGGATGAATAAAGCAAGAAGCGGCAAATTGTATGAATTGCTTGAAAGAAACCTAAATTAATCCTGAGAAAATTGTGCGCGGTGCGTATCAGTGACAAAAGTTTTTCAAACAACTCCAGTGTCATCATCATTAAGTCATGCAGTGTGGTCACTGGATATCAAAAGAAAGTTTCTAGCAACGACTAAAATTAACATTTGTCTCTACAACTATGTTTAAACTGTCGACAAATAATTTTGATGCTGTCCTTTGTGGATCTTTTAGTACGAAGCACAATCTGTAGTAGAAATATATGAAACGACATGACAACAGCTGTGACCATGCAGACACAGTGAAGCGTGCGAATAAAGTAATAATAGATATATAATTTTTCTGTTAATTAAATTATATGAACTACATTATTTTTTCTTTTGATTCTTGATTTGTTTACAAATCTTCGATGTTGACTTAGTTGGAAAACTTCTGACATATCAGTACCTATCTGTGTTTTGTTTCAGCAGACKTTTCGACTTCAAGTCGACTTGAAGATGGTAACTTGCTTGCAACAGACTGCTACGTTGTATTAATTTTTATCAAAATTGATTTATAGATTTTAAAAAGCAAAAGCCAGCTATGCCGGGATAATAATTCAGTCACAATAACCTGTTTAAAAACATATTTATTTGGATGTACAATTCTGCACGAGGGAAGCATGAAATCAGCTGGCTAAATTCTTGTTATGGCCTCGCAAGCTTCCTCATTAGATAGGATCTCTTGACGGTAGCATTAAGCTTTTTACTATCAAGATGACATTGTCGCATGCTCCAAAAGTTTTCTAACTTCTCGATATGTGTTTTCTTGGTGTTCATGTAGAGAGCAGCGCAAAGCGAGCACCACCAAGGTGCATAATCAACTTGCTTGAAAGTTCTTCTCCATTGAAAGTACTTCTTATAAGCTTCGTCGTTATTGTTTAAATAAACTAGATATTCACCGAGCTTTTTTATGCTTTTAAAAGAGCTTGCGTCTATAAAAGAACCCGGAATAGCGAGATCTGGGTCGCTGTAGTTGGCCCCYCCAAGAACAACTGGTACAATTCCCAGCTTAATTGCATTCCAGTATTTCTCTGTGATGTAGTCTTTGCAGTATGAATTCTCAAACGCCAGGAGAAACTTGTGGCGCTTTTTAAGCTCGGTACACTTGGGATCATTCATGTAGCATTCGCCTGTTTTATTTACACCTACAAACGGTCCACACTTCCCGTAAACATTAATGTCTACGTATTGTGCTAGCTCATGAATGTACTTATCCCGAAATATACCACAATGACTTGCGGCCCAGAATATAAACTTATCCTTTGTCTTTACTGTGTTCTCAATATCTTGAACAATAAATGTATCATTTTTTCTCGAGGTAATGGGATGGTAATACCCGTAAGGAGAATAAAAGTCTGAATCTCTACGATATGTAAGTGTCCAATGGAAAAGATTATGCAAACGTTTCACCTTTGGATTGTATTTTGGACTCTCCAAGGCGAAATATACCCATTTTTGAGCACTTGGTTTGGCTTCCTTGAGCCTATGAAGGCCAAATGTTACTGGCATATCCTTGGCATGAAATACAACAGCGTCAGATTTGAGAAAATCGTGAATACTATATGTGAGTCTGCAACGGAAGTAAGGACACTGAATGCCTTCCCAAGTATTAAACATTTTAGTATTCTTCATCCAACCCCATGGTTTCTGACCAAAGAAAGCTGTATAAARGAAAACAATCTTCGTTCTTTCTTTCTTTGATTTCTCTATGTAGTACTGAAGACTTCTTGAATGATTGCCATCCTCCAGGGCATTTTTACTCCGAAGGATTTCATTATATATAGTTCTAACTTTGTCATCAATGCCTCTGTATTCGGGACTTGATGATGATAGATGTTGTGAACCAGTCATGGTTAAAATAGTGTAACAAATCCAACAAGCGGTGAGCAGAGAAAACAGGAATATCGCGAAACGTTTAGATATATTTTGCGCCATCTTTAGCGCGGCAAAGCAGATCGCGAAGAAGTATAAAGCAAGTTGTTTATGTTGCGTTACTCATAATGGCTGCTTTAAAATTATGCAAAACGACTCGCTACGGTGATTCTGGCGTTCAGTTTCCCCGCGCGAAACTTTCTAGTGCCATGACTCCTCGGTTGTGTCATGCAAAAGAACATTCAGGAGCTAGATGAAAAAATAAACATCTGATATAAGGTTTCCTTGAGTCTCAACGACAAAAAAGCAGGAACATATTTTTTCATAATGTACAAATAAATGCATCAGAGTATAATGATATAATGATCGATTGTAAATTCGGTAAAAACAAAATAGATTTTTAAAGTGGACAAGTCTTCGAAGTAGAAACCAAAGTAGCTTTCAAAAGAATCATAACCAAACTAAGGTATATGATAACGAAAACTTTTTGGGAACTAAGATAGAGGACACCTGTTTTAATGTCATTAGTAAGTGCCGTTACGTTGTGCGCGCTGCGATATAAATGCGCGCACAAGCCTCGTTTGCGTAGCGTCCTTATGGTAGGGGATTGGGGATGGCTGAGAAGAGGATGGAAAAAAAGGGAAAAGGAAGAGACAGCCTGCTAGAGACTCYGGCAGTTTTCAAAATTGTCTATTTCGTACCAAGGAAAATTTTCATTGAYCATTATGCGCACCTGCACTTGTATGACACTAGTAAAAGTGAGGAATTAAGAACCACCAATATAGTCTCATGTCGACAATCTTTCTCCCTTAAAAATATAAATAAAATAAAAGTAAATCATTTTGAGAAGTCAAATTTTATCTGTCACAATCATTGTGAACTCGACCACCGGTACTTGTGCCCAGTGCCACACGGTATGAAATCACCGGCATTGTCAGGACATTTCATTTTTGACGGATTAAGCATCAAGTTTTGAATTCTTTGCCACATTTTGAGCAGAATCATTTAAACAAATTACGCAAAACACAAGGCCTTCAAGTTGTCCTGCAATGTAGCAGGAACTACACACAACTTTYATTCATCCTTTACAAAAGCTCATTTTTTCCTTTTTTTAGAATTTTTATGCCAAATTAAATTTAATCCCGGCRTTGAAAAGTGTAAAATAAGAATTGTGAAATCGAATTAACTGATGCCTCACTGAACATTTTGAACACAATCTTCAAATCACTAAAAAAAGGAGTTTTTTGTGACGAAAGGCCTTATGGGGCCTCTCGTCACTGTGTCATCGTGTTGAGTCCGAACCGTAACCATCCACTTGTAGCAGGCGTTCCTTGCGAGTCCTTAATTGATATGTTTAAGTTAAAAAGAGAAAATCTCTAGAGAAAAACAAACGAAGTAACAACAGCTAAGAAAAGAAGAAAAGGAAAAAAGAAAGAAGAAAAGAAAAGAAGAAACAAACGAAAAGGAAACAATAAACAAACGAAAAAAAGAGATATTCCAGACCAGGGCTCGAACTCAGAACTTTCACTTCAAGAGAAGATGTACCCCCCCGGAATACATAAGAAATAATGAAAATAAAAAAACTAAAAAGATGGGACGATTCCCCCGAGACATTCTATGAAGCTGAGGCGGCGAATCGGCTTACGTTACGGTTAGAGATTTCGGCCCTTCCACGCTATCCCGAGTGAACATAAAACTTARTCTTAACCAAAAGGCCAGGGAGTGAGGGGGTAGCCGCCCACTAGAGCATACCTTTAGCTACCCTCTTAGACCATCGTACTATGAAGACACTTATAGATATYTAATATCTAATTGGGGTAGTCTATTCGGTGTAGTTCTATGCTGACGTCACCAAAATCCTTAGGGATCAGCGAGCCAATCAGAGCTTTAGCAAAAGATACAGGGTTTGCATAATCATTCTTCAGTGTATTAATTATTTGATGGGGGGGTGGGGTGGGTGCCGAGTGATGGTTTGCGGTCGAATGCCGGTGTTCAATGTACTGTGACGGCCTTCATCGAGTTGTTCAATTGTTGTTATTGTTTTCCAAACAAACAAACAAACAAATTTTTAATACACATTACACATTAAGTTACAATTTAAGTGAATAGCAAGTGAAGTTGAATAAATAGGAATATATAAGGTTTTCGTAATGTTGTGCCTAAAGGCTAAGTAAACTGGTAAGTTTTCTAGCTAGCCTTTAGTAATAAAGTTAAAATTTACGTTTCTGTAGAAATGAAAAAGAGTATTATAGTAGAAATAGATAAAGAATAAGTACGTACTGTAGACATATTGTAATTATAAAGTTGAATTAAGAATCAATTATTTGGTGGGAAAGTAGATGGCATTTAGCCTGTTTCCAAATCATCAAGAAAAATTAGGTGTACAATTCTTATATCAGACAGACATTATTAGTATTCGGATAAACACCACGGCACAAATCTCTTGAAATTCTTAACGTAAGTGGTTTACAAACCAGGCAGATATTTGCTGGAATTCAACGGA